TTTAATATATTATAATAATTATTTATATATCTATTAGTTAATTTTTTTAACGTTCAATCTCTTATTAAAATTTAACATAATATCATAATTATCTATATACATCAAAATTTATCTATATGTATTTATCTAGATGTTCATGCAATAAGGGAGGGTATTGGAGGCGTAATCTCACACATGTCATTTAAATATAAAGATCAAGTATGAAATAAAGTAATCTCATATTAACCAAGTACATAACTAATTAATTATTATCATTGTGATGTATAATTTAAGTTTTTTTGCTATTTCCACGTCCTTTTTATGTTTATAAATTAATGAAACTAACATTTTTCCATGAGGACATGTATATATATATATATATATATTATTATATATAGTTAACGAGCCATATATATTTGTCAACAATGTACATGCAGGAGAGACAAGTGAAAGTTTGGTACGTCTCTTTTGAAAAATATACAAATATTTCTTCTTGTTTATACAAACAATTCTTATCCGGTTCTTAATTAATCATTTTCCCATCGCATTGATTATAAGAAAGTCGGCTTGTTTATTTTCAGATTTTATTAACAGCCTAATTGATTATATATATATATATATATATATATATGTGTGTATATATTTTAATATATCTACCAGTTATTACCTCGCAAATAGACCTCTTTGTTGGATATGCACGAATAATTGCTATTAATTTCATCTATCACCATGATTATTTATGAAGAATCATAATAAATATGGAGAGCAACCTCTATTTATATAATATATAAATAGATAATATATATATGAACTCCACTATTTTTATAATATATAAATTACTTTCTTTACAAGGAAGCTAATTTTACACCAGAAATTTCTAAGTTTGGTGGTTTAATTTTCAGAAAAAAAGAAAAAAAAAAACTGAAGGAAAATTCTAATAATTAAAGCTTCTAGATATATAATTTAATTAATACTTGACGAACCCAAATTCCTGTCTTTTAATTTCACTCATATTCAAACTAAAATAGGTACAAATGTTTGCTCAAATGTAAAATTAGAAACTTTAACATGTAATTCAAACTATTTTTCTACGAGAATAATAAAATTAATAAGCTCTTATTTATAATTTATGGAGGTTGCTGTAGTTATAAGTTGTATATTTAATATTTGAGTGAGATGCTCATTCAGTGTTACAAAATAATTAAAGGTTTTTTATTTAAAAAGTTTGTTCGAGTTTGATTTGTATTAGAAGAATTAAGAGTTTAGGTACATGGTTTAGTTCTTTTTTTTTTTTACTTCATAAATCTTGTAATCGAAAAAAAATAAAATAAAATTTTAGCTCAAAAGATTTTATCCGTACCAGATAAATTGATTGTTCGCTTATTTTGTAAAGCAAATATCTTGTTTAATGAAATATTTATTTTTGGCTTAAAAAAAGAACTCAACCTTTTACTTTATTTAATTAAGTCAATTGTAATTAGTTAAAAAAGTTCACGTAAAACATATACTATGCAAATATATTACATTGTCAAATAAATCAAGTTTAATATTAAAATAAATTGAAAAACTATATGGTATATAATAATCTTAATAAAATCGTGCCAAAATTAACAAAAATATTGATCTCAAACACCTTGATTCATAACCTATTGAATCAGTGATCATATAAGATACTTATGCTGCTGAAAATTTGAATGATAGTCCCAACTCAAGAAATATTGGGATGAGTTCTTGTAATCATCAGTTAAATTATATCAACATCACTTCTCATTTTCCATCTTTTGATAGAGAGGAACCTCTAAGGACCCAAGACAAGAACACAACTTCTCATGATTTATTAAGAAGATATATTAGAATTAGAAGGCTTTCCACTTACCTAGGGCATTTTGTATGTTAAAAGGCCAATATTATAATCGATCATTCATGCCACCTAAAAAGGAGAATGAATGTGCATATAAGTTTATACCTATATCTTTCAATATATGATATATTAAATTGATTGACACGTATAAAGGTTTTGTATTCTCTCTCAATGCTCAAAGTAAGCCAAGTTCATATCAGGATGCTTGCAAGAATCCATATGAGTAAAGGTTATGAGAATAAAAATAGATGTATTTGAGTAAAATAGAACTTGAGCACTTATTGATTTACCACCTAGTAAGAGGAAAATATGATGTAAATGAGTGTACAAGATTAAGTTCAATGTAGATAAGTTGGTGGATAGAAACAAAGTAAGATTCATTACAAAATGATTCACTCAAAAAAGAGATTGGATTACTATGAGACATTTTCACCAATTGCAAAAATTGTCACTATGAGATTACTACATTCTTTAGTAGCTATTGAGGGTTGTCATCTCAATTAATTTGATGTCAACAATGTTTTTTCTGCATAAGAATTTAGATGAAGAAGTATATATGGATTTGCCACTACATTAATCAAACAAAGAAAAAAGAAATGTGTGTAGATTACTGAATATTGCATAAAATTAAAAACACCCACAATAGTCTTTGTAAAAAGACATAACTTGTCATGAGTTTATAAGGAAAAAATTATTTGGTAAAAAGATATGACTCTTGGTGAGCATATTAGGGATAAAAAATCACTTTTGTAAAATAACAAAGAAGAAGATAATACCTACAAAAATAACATATTACTATTCTCTCACACACATTGAGTTAAACCATAAACATATTTGGATTTTATGGTATAAAAATTACCCGAAACTCTAATAGTATCTGAAAAAAAATAGAGTCAGTCAAAAGCGTCAACAATTAAGAATTGTTATTTATAAACAGAAAAACAAACATTTTGTCATATTGCTTCCATGTTAAGGTTAGTCCTAATTTTCTAACATTGAAAATCATATATAAACATAAGCAAGTGTCTCAATAGTGTTATATAAAGCTCTCTACCTTTATCATTCAATAGGGTTTTATGCAGTTTCCGACGAGTTATAACTTATTCACCAATAATGGTCGAGGGAATTCATTAGGATACTAATATATATTGATGATATTATCATAAAAAGAAATAATATAAAAACAATAAATGAATTAAAGTTTATAGTGACTGAAAAGTTCAAGATCAAAGATCCTACAAACCTAAGATTCTTTATTGGGGTTAAAGTAAAATAGTCCAAATGTGTTATACATATTTACTACAGAAAGTATGTTTTAGATTTATTAAATGAGACATGAACAATAGAAACAAAGGCATCAAAGTTGCTGTTAGATTATAAACTTAAGTTGTCAAAAGAAAATGATGAAATCATATATGACCCAATAATGTATAGTAAACTCATCGATAAGTTAGTGTACTTGATCCTTACAAAATTATACTTGTATTATTTAGTCGAACTCCTCAGTCAATTTATGGAGAATATATGCAATCAATATCTTAATGCTACTTACAAAGTACTTAAATATATCCAAGGTACACATGGACAAGGCTTGTTTTATCCATGTTCTTCGAAGTTACAACTCAATGCATATAGCGATAATGATTTGGGAGCTTGCCTAGATACTTGAAGATTTGTGACGGGATACTATGTCTTTCTTGGTTCATATTTGAATTCCTAGAAATCAAAAAAGTAGCACACTATTTCGCAGTCCTCTATAAAGGTAGAATATTGTACAATGGCCTTTGTATGTTATAAATTAACTTGGGTGAGTGTATCTCTTACCTGATTTTAGGGTTGAGCACTTGCATGTTGCTATATTATACTGTGAAAATAAAGTTGCAATGAACCTTGTGTTTCATGAGAGAACCAAGTATATATAACTTGATTATCACTTAATCTGTGAGAAAATTTAGAACAAATTTGAATCATACAATGATCATCATTATCCTCACCAAAGTCCTTCAAACGTCCTCCTTTACTTGCACATGTCTAAGATAAAAGTAAGAAATGTTTACTCACCATCTTGTTGAGAGGTATCAAATTTAGAAAACCCACATTGTTCAAATGGGACTTAACATGGGTCACGGTACCTTAAAGTGGATTCGGGTATGTACGATGTATGTATATATGCATGTAGATGTAGGGTTAAGGATAAAATATAAATGTGTATGAATACCCATTTTGAACCCCATATTAAGTATTCTTTTTCTCAAGAATAAAGGTAAAAAAAAGAAAGAGAAATATGTTTTAGGATTTCCTCAAGTCATCACCTCATGCATGTTTTTCCTCTTCTTCACTCTTTGCAAAGATCTCTTCAAATTGTTGTTGTGCTTGCATCGAAGCTTTCTTCTTCATTTCTTAAAGCTTGAAGTTCCAAAAATTTCGTACTTTCATTTGAAATTGGAGATATTTTTTTTATCAATCTTTTTTATAAAAGAAGAAATAAACTGTTTTGATTTTTGAAAGAAATATAATATGAGGGAGAATTGGGTATCCTCCAAAAAGAGGGGGAAAACCAAACGAAAAGAGAAATTAATACAAGGATCATATAAAACAGAAAACACCCCTCATTCTCCTTCGAAGACCGTGGCTGCACCCTCACATTATCACAGTTCATCATCTCCTTCATTCCCTTTTCATTAACACAAACCCTAATACCACGGAATTAAATGCCCCTCCCTTTTCCTCAACAGGTGGGAGCTGTTGAGGAAAGAATAGTTGAAAGGGGGAGTAAAAACAGTTGGAGTTGAAGGAAACATGCAAGAGCAGCTTCTACCTTAAGCAGCTTTGATTGTGAAACAGGGGAAGCTGAAGCAAGTGAAGATGGATTATCAACAGAAATCTGGAGGAAGACCAAAGATTTGAAATCTGGAGCAAAGAAACTCTATTTCAAAATTTTAAAGGCAAACAAGAAATTTATGGGCTGAAAGTCTAAGTTTTAATGGACTTGAAACTTATGGGCTTCCAAATCTAATGGATTTGCTGACTTATATAAACGAACTCTTCCTGAGCCTAGAGCAACGAGTTATCTGCAAATGAAGAAGCTAGGAAGGCTCCAATCCAATATGTGACAGTTTAATTGTACGAATAAAATAAATAAAACATGGGTTAGCTTTGAAACGTTCAGAAAAAGCAAGGACACACGTTTGCGCAAAATGCGAACCCCATTTTATCTCCTAACCTGAAATTAAAACTTTTTACAAAAATCAAATCTCGTTTCAGATCCGAGGAAATTCAGTCATGAAGAAATTAGTGAGAAAGTTGTTTGTTCTCTTCCTCGTCCTCACTTGCAGTGTTCCTATGTTAGCAGTAGGTGATGATGGAGCACAAGACAGCGAGGAAGATACAATAGTCCCGTCGCTGCTAAACACTCTTATAAACACAGTTTCTTCCTTGAAAAGATCACAGACAACTTCTTTGGACAAGATTAAGACTATCATCCGCCAGGTGCAATTGCAGTTTTTTCCTCCAGATTTAGAGTAAGCTGATAGATCATCCATGTAATTAATTACCGTTAAATATATATATATATATATGGGTTTTAAATTCAAGATATAATTACATAATGAAACAGTTTCAGAGGCAACAAAGAAGGGATCAATGGAGACGGCATCAGTCCGGGAGGGAAGATGAAAGACGCTGCAGAGAGAAGTTTCAAATCTGGCAAAGCTACGGTGGAAGAATCTGCAAAAACAGCGGCGAATGTTGTAAGAGGAGCCATTCACAAGACTGAACAGAAAGAGTCTCCTAAGGCTAAGGAACGGCCTCGCAATGATCTTTAGATAATCGTGAATGGCGAAGAATGAATGTACGGTGTAAGATGAATTTAGAAACTGTACACAAATTTGTAATTCAAAAATTATTGTTAAACTATTGAGAAATTTTTGGATAAGATCAAATTAATAGCAATTCAAGAATTTTCCAGAGCTTGCAACGGTGGTGGATCGGCTTTATATATATACACCCATATATGGCTATACATAGTCATATTTTTTGTTTGTTTTGTAATGTATTGGGCCCAAAACTATGTCAATCAACTTGGCCTTAAAATATATTACAATAAGCCGCTGCTGCAGTTAGAGAACTCATTCTTCATATTCTTTTCCTAGCTTTTTTTTTTTTTTTTTAACACCTAAACTAAATTCAACCTAAAGTAAAATTTCATACATATAAACCAACAGATTTTAGTAAGGAAATTCATTAATGTAAAATTAGACTGAATTATTTTAGCTTCAATCTAAATCTAATTAAACTGTTATTTTTCAAATATTGGAGCAAGAGTTCTACAGGACCACAATCAAAATAATGGGTTTCTAAATGTGATTTATTTTGTTGAAAACGTGATGAAGAAGAAGGAAAGGCTAATAAAAAACTTAAATTTTTTATTTGTAGTTGTTACAATTTCAAATATATAAATACATATAGATATTAATATAACTCTTAAAATTTTAAAAATATATATTATAATTAAATTTAAAATATAAATTACATAAAAATTTAATATATAAATTATTTTAAAAAAATTAAATAATTTACATTTAACTTTAACTTTCTACTGAAATAGAGAATCTAAACATATTGGAATTATTATTTTCAACAGTTGAAACCCGTGTGAGCATCTCGTCAAGTATGAATCCATGGAGCAAATATGTTCATTATATGTCGCTAACTCATCCTTTCTCTGGAGCAAAAGTGGCCAAACCATCAACCATGTGCACCCGCATCTAACAGAGACAAGACATTTACCTGCTCATTCGGGCAAGAAATGATGCAGCACACAGTCACACTTGAACTCTTCTCATATTCTCTTAATTTCTCTCACTCTCTTCTTTTCCTCCAATTCCCAATCTACTCTGATGTGATTCTTTTTTACCCTCAATTCAATTCTACCAACATTCAGGATCCGACAAATTTATAAGTCAACCTTCTTACAGTTTGTGGCGCATTGCAGGACACTTCACCTGGGGATTTATAGAAAGTGGTTACAAAAATATATAACATACATACAGTGTTTGTGGTACCGCTTCACAAAAGCTTCATGAATTCTCAGTTTAAAGTTGTAATGCTTGCATGAGATATTAGAAGCCAAGCTGACACATGGCTATAATAATGGTCCATGTGTTTGATTCCTCACCGATCAACCCATCTATATATGAGTAACAAACAAACATATGTCAAATCCATCAGCTCCAGTAACTTGGTCTGAGCCAGCAAAAATGTCGACTTGTATCACAACCTTTCTCCTCCTCTTAGCCACCGCCGTCACCGTCTGTTGCAATCAAGAACAGGAGGTGGTGCAGATGGCTCGGGACGAAGTTTTAGAAGCCGGGAAATGGGCTAAGTCTACCCACATGATGTCACGTGGCTCCGACGGCCATGACTTGGAGTCTCGAGGTGTGGCTTTAAGGGACTGCGCCAGGCTATACGATGAGAGTGAGATTAGGCTGTCGAGGTTGCTGGTTTCTGGTGACAATTACACGGCTGACGACGCCCGTACGTGGCTAAGCGGCGTCATGGCCAGCCATAGAACTTGTTTGGATGGGCTGGTTGAGATGGATCTGGTTCAGGAAAATCTGAGGCCAGCGAAAAACTTGACTTCGTTGCTTGCCCAAGCTTTGGCTTTGTATAATCGGAAGAAGAGTACCATAGCTGTAGGAAGGGGTAAAACAAAGAAAAAATTACATATGACAGTTTGATATTTTGAAAATTAAAATTAAAATATTTACATTGAGATTATGATTTTTAGGGAAACAGGGATCGTACCCAAATGAAGGAATTTTAACGTCGTGGAATCCAAGAACTTCAAAATCTGATATGGTGGTGGCAAAAGATGGTTCAGGCACTCACCGGACTATCAATGAAGCACTGACAGCGGTGGGTAGAATGGGTCATACACGACCCAGAAGAGTGATCATCTATGTTAAAGCTGGTGTATATAAAGAAAAAGTGGAGATCAACAACAAATTGAGAAATATAATGTTTGTTGGTGATGGAATGGATCAAACCATTGTTACTGCAGATCGAAATGTTCCAGATGGTGCTACCACTTTCAGTTCAGCTACCTTCGGTAATTATTTTAATTTTTTTTTTAACTAGAAAGAAATAAATTTTACTGCAAAATATATATATATATATATATATATATTTTCTCTTCTTCTGTTTTAACAATTGATTGATATGTTTTTGTACTGCTTTATTTTAAATTTTATATTTATAAGTAAAGAGCTTGATTTTTTTGGAGTAAAGCTTTGCTTTGGTGGTACTTGTCAAAAAATGCATTGTCTTGAGGTTCTTAGGGAAACGAGATAGTTTATGGACAATGGTCTTTTGATTTTAAAGGACATATATATCTATTTTTTCACTATAATTATCTTTTTTAGGGATAATTTACTTGCATGGGACGATTTAGTTTTAAAAACTTCTAAAATTTACAAATGCATGTGATCTAACTTTCAACAAATTTTCTTTACTACATGCTAATATAATAAATTCTAACCAGCAATAATACAATTCGATTTTATTTCTAATAACTACTTCAAGGATAGTATTTTCCATTTAAAACTGATTTACAATAATTTTTTTTTTTTAAAAAAAAAAAAGTAAATTTTGAGTGTATCAGATTCGAATTAGACAATATTTTAATATATCAATGTCTGCCTAAATTCTTCTTTGTATATTTTTTATTTTATTTTATTTATATAACTATATAAAATATAATTATATTTATATTAATATAATAAGATGATTGTATCTAATATGGGTAGAGCAAATTCCATATTTTTCAAACATGTTTTGTGTTGGGATAGATTTGCGTTTATATTTTATAACGATAGATTATATTAAAATGTAGTCAAGTCTATCTCGAATTTATTTTATTGTCATATTTATTTTAGGGAGATATTTGGGTCAATTTTTCGTTTTGATTTTTGAATTTTAAAAAATAACTTTACACCAAAATGGATTAAATGTAAAATGTTTATGGGAACAGTTAAAATTAAAATTTATTTTTTGATAAGTTTAAAGTCAGAAAGTATAATATAAAATTTTAGAGGATAATTTCACTAAATACACATTCTGTTTTCTTAAAATAATTACACTTTTCATAATTATTTTTATTAAATATCAAATAATTTTTTAATTGAAAGTGTTTTTACTAAATGATCATTTTAATTATACTTTTAAAACTTACTATATAAGTTATAGCAGCCTAAAACATCTACTCAGTGCTTCATATCATTTAATTATTCTCCATTCAATGATATGTAGTTATCATCAAACACTGTAAACATCATTTAGGTACATATTATAAATTATGTTTAAGTTTACTTTCCAATAAATCTACTATACGACCTGCAGAAAAAATAAGAACAAAAAACAATCTATATATATATATATACACACACTCACCGAAGATATTTGGCTTTTATTATATAGCTCGTTAGATGGAAATAAGGTTTTTATTTAGTATTAAATACTTGCCTTTTATTATATAATTCAGTTAGTATGGATATAAACTATGTTGAATAGGTGTTTCAGGGGATGGGTTTTGGGCAAGAGATATGACTTTCGAAAACACAGCAGGGCCCCAAAAACACCAAGCAGTGGCACTACGAGTAGGTTCAGACCATTCAATATTTTATAGATGTAGTTTTAACGGTTACCAAGACACTCTTTTTGTTCACTCCTTGAGGCAATTCTATCGTGATTGTCATGTGTACGGGACCATTGATTTTATATTTGGTGATGCAGTAGCTGTTTTTCAAAATTGTGACATCTTTTTAAGGAGACCAATGAGTCATCAAGCCAACATGATAACCGCACAAGGTAGAGACTCTTCAGGTGAGAATACCGGAATTTCTATACAAGGATCGCGTGTTCGGCCAGCACCTGAATTTGTTCCAGTGAGAAGTGCATTCAAAAGTTACTTGGGGAGGCCATGGAAAAAGTACTCGAGGACTATCTTCTGGAAGACATATTTGGATGGTTTGATTCATCCAAAGGGGTGGACAGAATGGAGTGGGAGTTTTGCTTTGTCAACATTGTATTATGCAGAGTACATGAACACAGGTGTTGGTGCAACTACTAGGGGTAGAGTTAGATGGCCTGGTTTTCATGTGCTTAATAGTCCTCAACAAGTTAGTGCTTTTACAGTAAGCAATTTCATCCAGGGACAATCATGGATTCCAATTTCTGGAGTGCCCTTTTGGGCTGGAATTAATTAAAGATGTCATAATATACATATACACATGTGCGGTCGTGTTTATAAAAAGTAAATATATATCTAATCAGTAATCTTTTAACATTATTATCATAATATGATGTATCTTTTAGTGTGTCACCGAGTGTAAAATAAATACATATATATTATTTTTGTTCTTTTTAACATTATTTTTATAATATGATGAATCTTTATTTTAGAATTATTTGATCATTTCAAGAGTGTTGCAGTCAATGTATGTCTATGGATGTCATACAGTATACAAAGCAGAATTTAGAATTTTTTTTCTTTCAAATAATAATTAACTTGTAATATTTCAATTCTATAATAAAAATTTATTTTTTACATGTTATGAATAACTCGAATTTGAGCTTTTAAGGTATAGTGATTCAGCTTTAAATAATTGTTAGCCTAATAATATTCAAGCTTAATGTAACGACCCCGAAAATAAAAAAAAAATACATATAATAATTTGAGTGCGAAAGCGAAATAAAAGATTAAGCTTTAACATCTCTTATGCAATAATTTAAAAGTACTAAACAAATATCACGGAATAAGTTCTCTGAAAGAAATACGAGAAATGAAAAAAATAAAGAAAACTATAAAGCATCTAACATCTACTCGCAGTCTTCTTGTGGATTGGTCTCGGGAACCGGGTCTTCCTGATTTGAAATGGTTAAATAAGGAATGAGCTACACTAGCCCAGTAAGGACAGCACATTATATCACCGTCACTTAAGTAAAGGTTGGTAGAAAATCAAAACAACCAATGGAGCAGAAGATTTAAACCAATACATTTATTTAAAATAAAACCATTTACCATTTTTCTTACAATTGGAAAATTTATGGAAACAAATTATAGAACCAATAATATTATACAGATCATAATTTCATGCATAATCAGTAACATAGAACATATTATAAATTCACATTTATTAACAATAACTAATCATCACCGTTTCTCATTTCACCAGCATACTAGTATCCATGGGGATCCATAGGGGTGTCCCCGCTACACGTGAACCATTTTTCTTAATAATCTTAATTCCAGGGTCGTCTCCATACCCCATCCGATATGAGTGTCAAGACATTAAACCTCAATATTTCATCCGGTATGAGGGTGAAGCGGGCCGTCCCCATATCCCGTCCGGTATGAGCACCAAATGACTAAGTCTTCATACCCCGTCCGATATGAGACAACATTCGCAGTGGGGTTCTTTATGAACCCAGTCCGTCCACCATCTCCTAAGATATCTAGTGAGGCTGTCATTTTATTCATTTATCATATCACATTCCATTCTTGTTTGTCCTTAGTCTCCGTCACCAAATCAAACATAAATACATAAACAAGTAACATATATCCAACAATGCAATCATATTTTAGATTTTCAAAATCACACAGTAGTCAAGTAAAACAGTAATACATGCATTTAAACCATACAATATATAAACCAGATATCATCATGCTTTTAGACTGTACAATAAATCAACAATAATCGACAGAAAAAAATGTCCGATTTGGGCTCCATTAGCAATCCGTAATTAATCAAGCACATCCATTTAATTTGTACAAAGGACCGTATTATTATTTATTTGAACTTTAATTCTATGATAGCAAATATAGTGATGGGTCCTTACTTGATTCGATGCCGAAAACTAGATAGTTACTGCCCCTACAAGCGGTTCCTAGGTTCCCTGAATTTTTGTTCGGGAACTGAAACACGTTTACGGTACCTACAAGTGTCCCAAATAAACCCAAAAATCAGTCTCAGGGCTAATTTGGCCAATTTTAAAAATCCAGCACGACAGCTCCACCGTGCTCCGGCGACGGCGCCGCCGCCCCCGGCGGCGACCCGCCTTGGGTTGGCTGTTTTCGGTCGTTTTCGGCTGAATTCAACAAAACTTGAATCGGTTCCTGCGAGAAAGCACACTTAGGGCCCTGGTGGGCCAAAAAAACATAAAAAACTGAAACTCACTAGCGGTGGGGCTCTCCAGTGCGGCGGCTCCTCCGACTCATGTTACGGTTGGGTGTTTTGCTTCGCTCAACCTGTAAAGAAGGAAACGGTGATCACAACAGTGAAAAAGTCACATCGAACAAGAATCGGAAAGGGCCTCATCAGAGGCATTTTCTGAAACACCCCGCAATGGGGCTGCCGAGCTTCGGCGGTGTTTTTCGGCCAATTGGCCTGTTCTTTCACTCCGATTTGGTTATGGGTGGGTCAAATTCTGAGCAAATGGTAGAATTTTTACCTCGTTTGGTGATTGAAAATTGCTCCGGCGCGGAGGCAGGCGGCGGCAGTCGGCTCCCCGGCGGCTAGGCTGTCTTCTCCGGTGACTGGGCTGTCTTCTCCGGCGAGGGGCTCTGGCAGCTAGGTTAGGGTTTGGGTGCGGATGGGGTTATTTATTCCTATCCACTTTTGATCTAGGCCGTCCATCGCTTTTGATCTGGACCGTCCGATCACGATTAAATAAGAAGTGAATCTAGACCGTTCATCGCGATTCAATCTGGGTCGTCCGTGCGCGCTTTCGATCTGGGCCGTCCGTGAGTGGGAATGGATCTCAGCCATTCGATCGCACACACGCGGATCACCCACGTGGCTCCCCCTGCATGGCCTCCCGCGTCAGCATCTCTACCACCTTTCGTGTCCTGGTTGGTCGGGGCTGCTAATCGGGCAGCTGACGTGACGTAACTTTTTTAAATTATATTTTGACCCCCGGTTTCCGATTGTTCTTTCAAAATACCCCTAGAACTAAAATTTTCACCTTTTTTCCCCAAAATTATTTTCAATTAAATCCTTAATTATTTTTTCACCTTTTTTATTATCATTATTATTATTTTCACTAAATCAAATTAAAATAAATTAAATTTAATTTAATTCAATTAAATAATAATTATATTTATATAAAAAAATAAAAATAAAAATAAATAAAATATTAGGTGTTAGAACTCTCCCCCCTTAAAAGAAATTTAGTCCCTCAAATTTGTCTCTTACTCTTGAGCGAACAGCTGGGGGTACTGAGCTCTAAAGTCTAATTCTAACTCCCACGTGGACTCCCTTGGTGTGTGGTTCTGCCACATGACCTTCACAAAGGATATCTCCCGGTTGCAGAGTAATCTGCTCTTTCGAACCGCTATGCTGACTGGTACTTCCTCATAGGATAAATCCTCCTTGAATGGAAGAGGTTCGTGGGCCAAGACATGAGAGGGGTCCGGGTTATACTTACATAGCATGGACACATAAAATAGATTGTGGACCTTAGAAAGTTCTGGAGGCAGTGCTAGTCTATAGGCAGCGGTACCAATCTTGTCTAAGACTTCATATGGTCCAATAAATCGGGGGTTCAATTTTTTTCTTTTGCCAAACCTACTGATTCCTTTGAAATGAGTGACCTTAAGGAATACCCTGTCGCCTTCCTCAAACGTTAAATCTCTCCTCCAGGTGTCCGCATAACTCTTCTGTCTACTCTGAGCCGTCTGAATATTCTTCTTGATCTTAACTATTTTGGATGTAGTCTCCTCTACCAGCTCCAAGCCGAACAATTTTCTATCGCCCATTTTTTTCCAACAAATCAACGATTTGCATGGGCGCCCATATAATGTCTCATACGGAGCCATGCCAATACTTGTTTGGTAGTTGTTGTTGTAGGCAAACTCTACCAGGGGTAGATGATCGTCCCAATGGCCCCCGGAGTCAAGGATACAAGCTCCGAGCATATCCTCAAGTGTACGGATTGTCATTCTGACTGTTCATCAGTCTGAGGGTGGAAGGTAGTACTGAATGACAGCTTTATTCCCATGGCTTGCTGAAAGCTACTCCAAAACCGAGAAATGAACTTGGAGTCCCTATCGAACACCACTGTCACTGGGACTCCATGCAATCTGACTATTTTCTGGATATACATTCTTACTAACTTGTTCAAGGGATCGGTCATCCTGATGGCCAAGAAGTGGGAAGACTTGGTAAGCCAGTCAACAATTACCTAGATGGCATCATGTCCTGAGCGTGCCTTAGGTAACCTTGTCACAAAGTCCATGGTGATATGTTCCCACTTTTGCTCTGCGATCGATAATGGCTGAAGTAACCCGCCTAGGCGCTGATACTCTATCTTGACCTACTGACATACCAAGCATTTAGACACAAAGTCAGCTATGTCTCTTTTCATCCCGTTCCACCAAAACCAGAGTCGCATACTTTGGTATATTTTAGTGCTTCCGGGATGCATGGCAAACTTTGAGCTATGAGTCTCTGTCATGATGTCTCTCTTTAACTCACTGTCACCTCGAACACATACCCTGTCCTGGAATCGGAGTAACCCATTGTCGAAGACTCAAAATTCTAAGCTAACTCCCTGTTCTGGATCGTTCTTAAGGGCTATTAGGGTTGGATCAGCTGACTGAGTTTTTCTTATTCTCTGGATTAACTCAGGCTGGACAATTAGAGGAATGCGGCTCTGATACCAACTGTAACGACCCCGAAAATCCAAACGGAAATACATATAATAATTTGAGTACGGAAGCGAAATAAAAGGTTAAGGCTAATATCTCTTACGCAATAACTTAAAAGTACTAAACAGACATCACGGAATAAGTTCTCTGAAAGAAATACGAGAAATGAGAAAAATAAAGAAAATTATAAAGTATCTAACATCTATTCGCAGTCTTCTTGTGGATCGGGCT